TCATTTCCAACTTCTAACCAATCATATTGCTCCCCACACCTCAGTGATGTAGCCAACTATGTTGTCTTCAACCCTATGATGTCACCTACCTCGTTCTGTTCTTTGTTCTAACCTTATAAAAATGAGTTAAGTCTTCCTTTCTGGGTCTTTGGCGTAAATTGAAGCAAACCATTGACCCATTTATTAATAGGTTCATGTCCTATTAATAAATTGTTACCTTGCTTGGAGAGAATGTGCTTCAGTCTACCTTTGTTGAATTTCACTCAAAACAGCAGGAATGATTTATATAAAGTTTAAGTTTTGGCTCATGCCTAGGTCCTCCCCAAAATTGAAGGGTATGGCAAAGGTATTCAATGTACAATATGAATCAAGTATGGGACAGTTATTTATTTCCTCTTCATAAAAGTAAAGTTAAACACAAAACACTCCTTGGTGTACAGAGAAAATTACTTTAAAACAGTATTTGGTAACTTTTAACTACTATTATACTCTCTGCCAGGAGATCAATGTTTAAACCTCAGCATAATGGAAAACATTTTATGGCATTGCCGAGTGGGCATTTTACAGTTCACCTCAGTACTACTTTACTCCTTCCCCTCCCCATAAACCCCAATGGTAGTTATATTCTGGCAATCTGGACTAGGGTTTGGACTCACTCTTATTGATGACCATCTGTTCTAAGAGCTATAGAACAAATGCCAGAGACTTTTATCCTTCTCACCAGTCTGCTCCAACTAAAGCACTCAGGACCTCTGAGATTCTTGACCTCAGCAGGACTGATAATCATTCACTTAAGAACAGTAAACAATACAGAAAAGGCAGCCCAGACCTCAGAACCAGGATGACTCAGGCAGGACATGTGTATTAGTTGCCATGTGCTCATGGATGCATGGCTATAGGGGTGGGAGACAGGCAGTGCTGAGTCAGTAACAACCGGCTTTCTGGGGAGGAAATGAACCCAAGACATACTTTTAAGTTTAATTATGTTATCTTCATTTTCTCCATCACCTTCTTAAGCCTAGAAAATTAACAAAACAATAAATCAAGCCCTGCTACATAGTTTGCTGAAGTGTAAATTCTCACGCTGAAAATTTAACAATGCGAAGAGATGATTGGAGCTGAATCCAGGATCTCCCCCTTCCCCACCTGGTGACAGAGTAAGCTGCCCTTACTCCCCGGCCCTCCTTAGAAGTCCCAGACTTACATGAAGTCATCTGGAGAGCTGAAGGAAGAAATAAAGCCAGGGGGACTCATTCACTTTTAAAGGTCTATTGAGTTGTTAGTTCCAATTGTTTAGCAGCCAATAAGAGAACTTCCTTATCATCTCCGGGTACCAAGCTCCACAAGTTTTGAGACACCTACATGGCCAACCAGAAGCACTAACCATGTTCTGTGCAACTCATGGTGATACTCAGATCTGACCGTGTCACTCTCTTGGAGTCTTCAATGACTCCGTAATACCCGTGGCATATAATACAAAAATCCTTTATTTGGGAATTAAAGCTCTTGATGACCTGCCCTAGTTTTTGAGGTTAATTCCACGTTGTTGTTGTTCAGTCATTTCTCAATCATGTCTGACTCTTCATGACTCTATTTGGGGTTTTCTTGGCAAAGACACTGCAGTGGTTTGCCATTTCTTTCTCCAACTCATTTTACAGATGAAGAAATTGAGGTTTCTTCAAACAGGGTTAAGTGACTTGCCCAGGGTTACATAGCTACTAAGTGCCTGAGGCCAGATTGGAACTCAGGAAGACGAGTTTTCCTGACTCCAGGCCTCACACCACCTACTGGCCCGAATTTCACATTATTTCTACTTTACAATTCAGTCAAACCAGACAATTTGATATTTCCTCTACACAGCATTCCATCTTCCATGGAAGCTCTCCCTCTTTGCTTTTGTGTCTTGGAATTGGTTCTCTTCAGAGCTCAGCTCACATGCCCCCTCCTACGTTAGGTTTTTCTTTTCCTATTCTTTGTAAATATTTTGAATTTATTTATCTGAATATATATTGTTGTGTGTGGTTTGTCCTTCATTCTCGAAGAGGACCATGACATCAGGAAGGTGTTGCCATGACTTGCAAATGAATTGGATTTGAGTGAGGGAGGACTGTGCAAAGTCACCAGCCTCACTTTCTCCTCTGGAGTAATCTGGGTCTAGTGGCCAGATAGATTAGGACAACTGGAGACGGCCCAGGATGCGGTGGAAGACTTTGGCCTTTTTAAGCTAAAGTCTTTCCGAGTTCTCACTTTGATTGAGACAAATCCCATTCAGTGATTAGAGCTGTCTAAAAAGTGAGTCAAGGGATGGTCCCTTTAATCCCCCCCCCCAAAAAAATCAAATTGGGATAGGGAGACTCTCAGGGTTTCTGGCCAAAAGAGAAACAATGGGGGATGAAAGCAGGGAAGAGAAAAATTAATGGAGTGGCTAAGTCTGAATTGTTGAGAAACTATCCTTTCTCTTCCCTCATTCTTTAATTAAACAAAACCTTTCACATCCTTCCTTTCCTGCCTTTTGCATTCAAACACTGGCAGAGGGCTTCTCCACTATGCTTAGCTTCCAAAAATATTTTTCTTAGGTTCAACAGGGCAGCTTCCTGTAAGTAATTTTAATTCTTTACTGACATCAGTTGCATTCATAGCTGACTTCTTCAGCTATGGATCAAGGCAATAATTAGCATCCCAAATTAAAACATGTCTAACTGCTTTAAAAATAGGATTTCCTTTGATAAAATGTAAACTTCTGGAGGGCAGGGATTGTTTTGTTTTTGTTTTTTATATCTCCAGTACTTACTCAGCACAGTTATCAATGATTGTTGATTGGAAAAAAATAACAGGGTAAGCAATTCAAAAAGTGAAGCAAGTAAGATTGTTCTACCTATTAGATCAGGTTTAATTTCAATTTTTCAAAATAACTCTTTCAGGCATCTCGGTGATGGTGTTGTCTCCCCTCCCCAATCCTTCCCCACCAGATCGGTGATTTCAATGATGTGGGGGAACTCCTGGTGTGGAAATTTCCTTCACTGATGCAGATCTCTGCACATATCTGTTACATAGTTTTTAGATTTGACTGGGGGGGGGCACTGAGAGGTTTAAATGTCTTATCCACAATGACTTGACTTGTATGTATCAGAAGCAACACCTGAACCCAGATTTTTCTGACTCTATGCACAATGCCATGTTACCTCTCTTGAGTGTGATAACAACACCCAAAAAGCAAAATACTAATAAATGTGTTGTCCTTCTATTTTAAAAAATGAACATGGTAGGTATTCCTGTTAGCCTTAACCTCTCTCAGAAGTTTAAACTGGGGGAAACAGGTTAGTGAGACAACAGAGAAGGTAGGAAATGTACCAAGAGAGGACAATAAGCAATTGTTAAGCATTTACTATTTGCCAGGCACTGTGCACAGCACTTTTAAATATTACTTCATTCAAGTTTCACAACAACCCTCCGAGGTAGGTGCTACTATAGTGCCTATTTTATAATTGAGGAAATTATAGTTTTCCTGACTCCAGTCCCAGCACTCTAGCCACTATGGCCCCTCACTGCCTCTGTTCTCTCTTTCTTTGTCCTTGCAGGAACTTCATGCCATAAGATCGAGGTGCCAGAAAAGGAAAGAGAGAGGAGAGAGATGGTAAGCCACACTCCCCAGTCATGCTGGTCACAGAGAGCAGCTAGACAGGGCACATAAATTCATAGTTCAGAGCAGCAACCACTCGTCATGACCTGGGGTAGAGAGGGATAGGATGGAGATTGGGACCTAGAACAGAAATGAAATCTGCCTCCCAGGTTTGGGAAAGTCATTGTTGCCACGGTGAATTAGATCTGGAACCTGAAGCCAGCAGTTTTTGAGGGGGATACCAGCAAATGAAATAGAAGGAGGACAAACTCCCCTCCCACAGTATTCCTTTGATCCCAATTAACATAGACCCCTGACTCGGAAAAGGGGTCCCAAACATGTGATTTCTTCTCCTAATCTTTCACTACCTGGAGACAGTGGGAAGAGAAGCTGGAAGTGGAAGTTTGGGGAAATGATTAGTTTTCTTGCTTTCTTCCAGTACAAATATAACGCGTGCAGCCACAGACTGGATTGTCTATGTAACAAAAATATAAAGAGTCATAAGCGAGGAGAGATACTGAAAGTGGAGTTGAAGATTTGATTTTTCTGTTTTAATAATTACAAAAAATATTCTATATCATACTTCTGAATTGAGAAACTTTAGCCAGCAAAGATTTCCTTTTTATTCAGCTCTTTGAAGTCTGAAGCTTGGCAAATTTCTGATGTTTGCAAACGGGTATGAAGAGGCCTTTCACCAGCCATTTAATTAGTGTGATGCCTTGCTCCCCATAGGCTTATAAAAAGCAGAGACAGAAGCCTGGTTCAGCCTTGGTTTTGCTCTTGAAGTTCCGCAAATGTCACCTGGGAAAACCCAGCACTATATAAATGCCAGCTCATTATTATTCCAAACTCACTATCATCATTCTCCTTACACATTTCTCATAGGACGTTATTTCCAGACCCCTCCCCATTCTGGTCAATCTTGTCTGGCTGTGTTGTCTCTTGTTGACTTCTTTTATAAAATGTGGCACATGGAAATGAACAAAGTAATCTCAATGAGATCAGACCAGCATACCCTGCCATTATTGCTCAACGATATTTATTCATACTACCCAAAGAGTCCATGAAATTGGTTGGAATTGGGTCATTTGTATCAAACTGGACATTAGATCCCAAAAGCTAAGAAACCAGTGGTTCCAGGGATGAATCAGTGGGTTTAATCCCTTAAACCTTCCAGAGAACCTTGTATATCAATGGGAAAATAAAAAAGGAGACCTTTCTATATTGAGTAACATTTATTTCTGCATTCTGTATCAAGTACATAAGTGCAAATATTCAGAGTTCATAATTAAGTCCATTAGGAACTACAGAGAAAGTAATACAAATTGTAATAAAGTTAACAAGCTGGTACTCTTCAGTTACCATACATGTAAATCAGCCTATCAATCCCATACCACAAAAGTACTGGGCATTTATTTTTGTTTTTCCTTTTTTTTTAAGTTATACAAAATTGGTTACTGTAAGTACTACTGACTTTTCATTTGTGTGTGTATGTGTGTGTGCGTGCTGGAAAAACACCAAAACATCCACCTACAATTCTATATATAGTTATTAAAGATTAATCCAACCAGCGACTCAGTGTCAGCTCACCAAGCAAGAAAGGCCTAGCTAAATGGAACATTAAGAGTTACATAAGCACTGCAAAGAGAAGGGGAGAAGGAGGAACACTAAAGAAAGAAAGATTATTCAGGGTCTCACCATCATGCACTTTTTAAGTAACACAAAATAAAAACCATATCCACTACACATTTTCTCTTTACTATACTATAGTGCTCGACACAAGTGATTGCAGATATTTTTAAGAGTACAGAAACAGCCTAAAAACAGCTGTTGAGAAATACATGTTTCTAAGATCAAGGTATTGGGAGAAGGAAACAATCGATTTGCAGTAAAGTGTAAGAATGGAGCTTTTACCACTCCTGTTTAATTTCTAGTTGCCTGCTGGAAATCCAATTTACTCTGTCTGCCTTTTCGCTCCTGGGATTTTGGCCTGAATCCTAAAAATGAAAAGTATTATAAGATCAGAAGACAATTCATCACAAGTCATCACTGCTTATGAACATTATCATTTTAATATATGTCTTTGCTTTATCTAACCACATGATATCAGATAGCAATATACCTTGGGAGTGCTTGATATAAAGGTGGGTATGGCAGCCAGAAATCTCTTAGGATTGTATACTAAGAATGAAAAGTCAATTTGTCAAAGTCAATCTTTTTTGTGTTTAAAAAAAATTGGTTTCCGGGTAATATTTTAATTTACTCTTCTAACTTTTGGAGACAGTGTTATTATTCTTATGGGAAATATTTGTATAAGAAATATGTTTCTGTATTTGTGTAAGAAATATAGGGAAAGAATATGTATTTTTTTACAATATTATATTTGTTTTTCTGATTGCTGATGTTTAATGTAATTTATAATAATGTAAGGGTTCATATATGCAAATAAATGTATATAAAAATAAAATAAATGTATATTACATGCATATAAATATAAATATAATGCATATAAATAAATGTATATAAAACTTTTTGATTGGCAAATAACAGATATGATCATAGATACCCATCATAATGTAGGCAAATTCTACAAATTATATCTTTTCATGCAAGGATGTTAGATGTGAACATAGGCAAAATAGTGGAATTGATAAATTGAAACAGCTTTATCACTTCACTTAAATAAGATGATACTTTTCAAGTTTGCAATAGTACAGTCTAGGGCAGTGCTGTCAAACTCAAATAGGAAGGGGGCCACTAATTTATACATAAAGATCCCTGAAGATTGCATATTGGGGCAGCTAGGTAGCGTAGTGGATAGAGCGCCAGGCCTAGAGTCAGGAAGTTGAGTCTTCTTGAGTTCAAATCTGACCTCTGCCGCTAGTCATTTTATTTGTTTTTTCCAAGCATAAGAATGAAAGTTTCAGTATTGCAATGCTAGAGCAGAATAAAAATTAAAAAGTAATATATTTGGAACAACTTTGTACATTTCTTGATGTAGTCAATTAACAAACATCTATTAAATTCTTACTATGTTCCTGGCTAAGTGGTACAGTGGATAGAGTGCTGGGCCTGAGTCAAGAAGACTCATCTTCCTGAGTTCAAATCTGGCCTCAGACACTTACTAGCTGTGTGATCCTGGGCAAGTCACTTAACCCTGTTTGCCTTGGTTTTCTTATCTGTAAAATAAGTTGGAAAAGGAAAGGGCAAACCCCTCCAGTATCTTTGCCAAGAAAACCCCAAATGGGGTCATGAAGAGTTGGATACAACAGAAATGCCTGAACAACAAACTGTATTTTTATTTATTTTGTTAAATATTTCTGAATTATATTTTAATCCAGTCTGGGCAACACTTGAGAATGTTATGGGCAGCATGTTTTATCTAGGGCACAGAGCTTTTTCATTTATGGAAATGAGGAAGTTGGACTAGTGACCAATCAATGAAACACAAATATAGACATTCCATGCTCTGAAGTGGTTTAAAATCAAGGCAATCCTCCAATTCTATCATGAAAATGGATTATAGAAGCTTTGTTTTAAAGCAAGTCTACACCACGGAAAGTAATAGTTTTAGGAGTTCTACCTTTGACACCTTGTTAACAATATCTTTATTTCATTTCATAGAATTACAGAATCTTGGGGGCAGCTAGGTGGCGCAGTGGATAAAGCACTGGCCCTGAAATCAGGAGGACCTGAGTTCAAATCTGGCCTCAGACCAAACACTCGACACTTACTAGCTGTGTGACCCTGGGCAAGTCACTTAACCCCAATTTCCTAACATAACAACAACAAAAAAAAGAATAACAGAATCTTGAAGTTGGAAGAGGCTTTTGTAACCATCTCCTCCAATTGTCCACTCCATGCATTTAAACCCATTCTAAGATCCCTCACAGGAGGCATTAAGCTTTTGCTTCAATATTTCCAGTGAAAGGAAGCTCGTTAGGGGTAGGTAACCTGTGGCCTCAAGGCCACATGTGGCCCTCTAGGTCCTTAAGTGCGGCCCTTTGACTGAATCCAAACTTCACAGAACAAATCCCCTTAATAAAAGGATTTGTTCTATACAACTTGGATTAAAAGGCCACACCCAAGGACCTAGAGGGCCATATGTGGCCTCGAGGCTACAGGTCCCCCACCCCTGCATGAGACAATCTGTTCAACGATTTGACAACTCTGTTACAAAGTTATTTCTTATATTAAGCTGAATCTGCCTTCCTATAAATTCCACCCACTGCTCCTAGTTTTGCTCTGTGGATCAACACAGAACAAGTATGCTACCTTCTTATCTATGTTAGCTCTGCCAATATTGGAAGAGCATTACCATGACCCCCCACCCCCTGCCCCCAAAGCAGGTGGCCCAAAGCGATGAGCCTGGAGTCAGGAAGACCTGAATTAAAATCTGGCATCGGACTCTTGTTAGCTGGGTGACCCTTGGGCAAGTCACTTAACTTATCTTAGCCTTAGTTTTCCCATCTGGGGATGGGAATAAGAGGAGCACTCCCTTAGCAGGGCTGCTGTGAGAATCACATGAAATAACATAGGTAAAGTGCAATTAGGGTTAGAGCTTTAAAGAACTAATTTAAGGTTAGCTCACTTTATGCTTTTTACAAGTTTTTTGACACTTATTTCATTTCATAGAATCCCACTCACCTTTATGGATTAAAGGATTAATCACTTACATGATTACAAGTCATTGATAAGTCCATTTGAAACCTTCTTCCAAATTCACACTGAATCCTGGACCCATTCATTTAACTGGTCCTGTATTTCAGATGCTCCACCTATAACTGCACTGTTGCTTAGCCCCATATCTTTCCATCTTGTCCACTATATATGTGGATTTTATTAAAGAGATTTTATTAAATCCTTCACTAAAAGGTATGTAAGTAAACTCTGTTAGCAGCACTCCCCTTATCTATCAGTATCATAATGCTGCCCAAAAAGAATAAGGTTAGTTTACCATTAGTTTATTCTAGATGGAGCCAAATAGGCTCTTTAGGATCGCTGCTTCCTTTTAGAGATTTTCACTCACCATCCCTATAAGACTGTAGTCTAGAATTTTGCAAGAAATTGAAGTAAAAAAAAAAAAAGAAATTGAAGTCAAGCTCACTGGACTATATAGCTGGCACATGTCACTCTTTTTCTGAAACTCAGGACATTCATCCTTCTCTAGCCCAGTGGCACCTTGATGTTTCTCCTTGCTCTTTCAAAGATCATTGTGGTTTAGAAATATTTTCATGTTCTGTTATGCAAAAGCAGAACATCTTGGTCTGGTGATTTGAACTTAGTAAGGGCTTCTAGATGTTCTCTTAATGTCTCCCTTTTTATCTTGTCTATAAACTCTCTATTGACAAGTTTTGTTTTTTTGGGGGGGTTTTTTTTGTTCTGTCCTTCTGGTCTAAAGATTATCCTCCTTGTAGAAGAAACTGAACCAGAGTGAAACAGCTCTGTCTTCTTCCTCTTAATCATCAGTTTTCATCTCTTAATGGTCCTATTCCTTCTTCTTTCCCCAATATAGCTCTAATAAAATCCCAACTCTTTTCGGTTGAACCTAAATGCAGAACACACTATTTGTTATATATTACTTGGAGAAAATAAATTAAATTTAATCCAGATTTTGGACTAGGATTATAGCCTCTCTAGATAATCTTGTCTCTTCATTTTGTCATCTATCATTAATTAACAAAGTTTTGGGTCACCTACAATTTTTTTTAAATTATACTTTATTTTTTTACCTACATATTGTTGAGGATGCCTTCAACATCTTCATTTAAATCAATGCTAAAAGTATTAAAAAGGAGCAATCTAAGAATAGAGCAGCATGTCATACAACTAAAGACTGCCCTCATTCTGTTAAAAAATACACTTGAGTATCATTGTTCATTTAGTTGCTGATTCAACTAACTGTACTATCTTTGAGGCTACATAAATATGATCTATGATGACACCATGAGAAACTTTGTCAAATGCCAAGATAATGTCTGGAAATCATCAAAGAATGACATAGGAAAGCAATCAGATGTGTTAGAAAAAATTTGAACTTTGAGTTATAGAATATGGATAATAACAGCGCTTTTATAATATATGGATAATATACATTTATTATGTTTCTGTAATATATTTACATATACTACATAATTATATTTATATATTTATTTTGATAAATGTATTTATATGTGGATAATAATAGCATATTTAGGTTTGTGAAATACTTTGCAAATATTATCTCATTTTTTCTTCCTGACAACCTTAGAAGGTAGTGCTATTATCTGCTTTAGGGATGAAGAAACTGAGGCAGACAGAGATTATATGACTTGCCTACAGTCAATTAGTTAGCATGTGTCTGAGTCCAGATTTGAACTCAGGTCTTCCCAACTCCAGATCCGGCATTCTATCCACTGTTCCACCTTACTGCCAGCCTTCTTAGTTTCCTGCGAGACTTTTCATAAGACATTTAACCTTTCTAAGCTTCAGTTACCTTATCCGTCAAAAGAGGGATAATCTCTAAGCTCTCTTTTCGTTATCCATTTTCTGCCAGTCTAAAATCTCTTAAAAATGAAAGCAGTTTAGCACATCTACTTAGTGAACTTCATTTTATAAATGAGTAAACTGAGGCCTAATGAGATTCAGTGACTTGTCAACCAATAGTCATGTGGCTAGTCACGGCTAGAGCAAGGACTCAACCTCAGGTCCTATCCTAATCCAATATTCAATTTACATCACACTGCTTCACTGAAAAATAATAACTTCACTCAGTCACAGAATGTTACAGTTAGAATGGGCTCAGCTAATTCAGGAACCTATCACACGGTATTTCTTACAGGTAATTCTTCAGTCTTTATATAAATGCTCAGAATCAGGATTCAATATCTGGAGACACCTGAGGAGTCAGGCACTCCAATCTCTTTTGAACTGAGGCCTAGATAGCTTCCATGATTCTACCAAGATCACGCAGTAAGAACACTGGCAGAACTAGGCCTTTAACCACAGGCCCAAATTCTAACCTAGTCTATTGCTGGGAAGCTCACTATCTTAATGCATGTAGCCGGCCATTCCATTGCTGAGCAGGTCTTTTTGTCACAAATGGGTTTTATTTTATTGAACTGAAATTCTACTCCTCCCAGATACTCTTCACCATAGACCAAAGAGGATAGCTATGTTAACTTGGAATTAAGCCTAACCTTCTTTCACAATCAAAAGATAAAACGAGCTGCCTTATGGGGTGATAAGTCCCCCATTATTAGCAGTTATAGAATTCTAGGATTTAGGATTGCAAATATTCAGTCTGAGGCTGGATGACCTCTTATAGGGATTCTGCTGATGGGATTCATGCTTCAAGCAGAGGTTGGACCAGAGTAATATTTTCTTTTTCTTCTCCTCTACTCTCCTCCTTCCATCTCCCCTCTTCCTCCCTTCTCTCCTCCCCTCCCTTCCTCTTCCCTTCCTTTTCTTTCACTCCCTCCTGAAATCCTTCCTTCCTTCCTTCCTTCTTCTTTTTCTTTCTTTCTTTACTTTTTTCTTACATTTTCCCTTTTTTCCTTCCTTTTTATTTTCTCTTCCTATCACTCTCAGACTGGAAATACAATAGCTCTTCATGAGTGTTATCTCCTAACTGATTGTCATGGAAGGTTAACCTGCTCCATTTTTGACCAGGACAGGTTCACTCCTCTGTTCATAGCCTGGTAACCCCTTCTTGCACCCTGCTCCTGGGAGCTCACCACACTGGTGCTGGATTTAGTGCAGACACTTGATTGGTTTTAGATCACTTAAGCTCAGAACTCCTTAACTCAATCAATCCATCAGCCTCAGCCTTCCAAATAATAAGGATTACAGGCTTGTGCCACCATGTCTGTCCTGATTAATATTTTCGAACCCAATAATAAAAAATCTTTAATTTCATTGGGGGGGTTGCCTTCTAGTAAACTTTTATTTCTATTTATGTAGGTCTTATCCAACCAATTAAACACGAGATATCTTCCATGAATGGGCATTACCATCTATATCAAAGATATTTATTATAATCAATGATATGATTCTTCTACTGTAATAATTTAATTTATTTCCAAATTCTGATCTTGCACTTCCAGATCACTTAAGGGCAAAGAGCACAGTTGTATAGTTGAAATAAGTAAGTAGATGAGTAATCATGAGATTTCTGCCCGATCAAGGCTCTAGACATAATTTGGTCCAAACTTTTTATTTTATAAATAAGGAAAATTGACTTGCCTAGGATCACACAGGTAGTCAGTGACAGAACTGGTATCTAAACCCATGTCCTCTGACTCCAAATCTAGTGCTCATAAGATTATATATTACATTTCATACTCAAATATGTTAAAAGATAACAAAACAATCCTTTCAAGAAAATGCATTATTGAACTTACTTTCCCACAACAGTATTTACATGAGTCCTCACAAGTCCCAAATACTGGTCAATCTGTGCCTACAAAGAAAAAGGAATTATCAGCATGCCAAAAGACACAACTCTGAAATTTAACACAAATCACAAACATGACATTGAATTTACCTGGTGCTTAAAATATACTACCGGGAGAGTAAACATTGACACCACAGCTGAGGAGAAAAAGAAAGTACACAGTTAATGTTCTGAGACTAGGGAGTAATAAAAAGCCTATGTACATATCACTTCATCTATTTATAATATGCTAGTAGATAGTTCCTTTTAGCATTCTACAAATACCAGAAAAAAGATGCTAAATAAAAGGATGTTCCAAAGGAAAATGAAAAGACATAGAGCGGCCTACAGGGATGACCTCACTTTCCCTGGAGTGTGAGATTAAACTCTGTCTGCACTTCCCATGGATCTTGATCCAGAGATGTATATGAAATGTGAGATAAGCTAATGAGAAGAGCAATACATGATAGAAAACAGAAGGCAACAGAATAAAAATACATTTTAGTGAATAATATATTATTTTTTAAAAATTATTCTCCCATGACAAGGAAACTACTTTATAGTTGGGAGACTCCATGGTTTCTATTTTATTCAGAATCCACAAAATAAAAAATAAGATAAGAGCTACTTTGAGGACAACATCCAATTTCACATAAATTCTATGTAAAGATTAAGTAATGACACTAAATTATCTTTACCCATTATCAGCAGCGTCAGGCCATTGAAGAGAGCACCAACGTAAGTCAGTAGCCACATTAGCACAGCAAACTGAAATTTAAAAGGATCATCAGGTCTTCAAATATGTAGTTCTTATTTATATAGTACTTTAAAGCTTGCAAAGAACTTTCCATACATTATCTCATTTAATCCTCACAATTACCCAGTGAAATCGGTACTATTGGTATCCCATTTTACAGATGAGGAAATTGAGGCTCAAAGAGATTAGGGGCAGGATATGAACCCAAGTCCTAATGGCTCCAAGTCCAAAACTCTATCTCCTGGACCACAAGTTGGAAGATGAGAGTTTGATATAAACTTTACAATTAAATCAACTAAAAAAATGCTAAGTATTACCATATAAATTTATCACACAGGAATGGAAAGGAATCAAACCTTCCTTTTTCTCTGTACCTTTTGAAACTCCTTGTTAGAAATTCTAAGACAACAGGGTAAAATACTAGTCTATGGCATATGTTTTTCTATTATGAATACAGTTTTAACATTCACCTTAAGACATTATCATGGACAGTAACAAAGTTTTTATTATATTTTATCATTTTACAATTTTGTAATTGTTGTAAGTTGTTTAAGGTCAGGGACCATGTCTTAGATCTCTAGCAGCACCTATCACATAGTGGGTGCTTAACAAGCTGGTAAGTTTCTGATGCAAGAGCTAAACGTGGGTCTTCCTCATTCCATGTCCAGCATTCTACCTGCTGTACCACCTAGCTCCTTCCATCCAAAGATACCCAAGTCAACGGTAGAGCCAAGAATTGTGTCCAATGCTTTTGACTCACATCTGGGACTTCTCTTTCCTATGCTAGACTTTTATGTAGTGCAGTCTCAAAGCTGAAATTAGTGTAAGGAGAGTCAAACAGTAGAAGAACACGCTAGTAGAAAGTAAAAAAAAAAATCCAACAACCCACAAAAAAACCAAAAAACCTCCAAGAACTCAAGAAACTTTTTAGTGTATAAAGTACGTAGTCCTTAGGTTCAAACAAACATGCTTCTACTGTTACATTAGATTCAAATGAGAATTACTTTCAAACTAATTTTGAGACAAAAGGTGAAGAATAATTTGAAAGTCAGGCAGTACTTAGTCAATAAACATTATTAAGGGCCTACTATATGTCAGGCACTGTGTTAAGTGATAGGGATACAAAGACAGATAAAAGAAAGTTGGTGCTCTCAATTAGCTCATAGTCTAATGGAGGAAACAACGTATAAATATGTATCAATGAGATGCACACAGGATAAATTGGAAATAATCAAAGGATGGATTAATAAGAAGAATCAGGAAAGATTTCCCATAGAAGATAAGATTTTAGCTGAGACTTGAAGGAAGCCAAAAGGTGGAGATGAGGAGGGAGAAAATTTCAAACATGGAAGGGCAGGCAGTAAAAATGCATAAAAACAATGTTTTGTTCAAGGAACAGCAAGGAGACCACTAGAATGCTGAGTATGCAGTGGAAGTGGGAGGGGAGGAGAGTTGTAAGGTGTAAGAAACCAGGAAAGGTGGTAGAGGGGAAGGCAGGTTATGACATCATGGGCAAGTAGTATTTTTGCTTTATATATAGAATCATGGAACAGCAGAATGAGAAAAGACAGTAGAGAACAGCTAATTACAGCTGTTCTTCACCTTTTTGGTGTCATAGACCCCTTTGGAAGTCTGATAAAGACTATGGACCCTTCTCAGAATAAGATTTTTAAATGCATAAAATGTAAAATAAATGGGATTACAAAGGAAACCAATTACATTGAAATAAAGATGTCATTTCTTTCCCATCCAAGTTAATGGATGCCCTGAATTCTTAGAGTTCCATGGGCTCCAGGTTAAGAACCACTGATCTAACCCACTCCCCTAAAATAAAAAATGAAATGAAAATAGTATCCTATTGAGGCTAAGAACCTCAATTTTTAAGATTTATATATAATACAAATAAGTATAACATAAATATATGTAAAATAAATATATAATATATGTATCTATATCTTATCCTTCAACATTTCTCCTCAATACCATCTTTTGTTAGGAGCTCCTACTGTTTTGGCTGAGGGAATAAACAAAAGATGCACAGTGAACTACTTAAGCCCTTATACCTTTAGGGAATCCACCAGATCCTGGACCAGAAAGAGTCTTCTCAGTTCTTTAGCTGCACTATTCACATACAACTGCAGGTAGTCTGTGTACTTCTGAATCTGGTCCTGGGAAAGAGAGATCTCGAGCTCTAGATATGCCCTGCAACAAAAACGCAAAAACAAACAAGCAAAAATAAAATCCCATCAGACTGATTAAGAAAATAGTTCCTTTTGGTTGTGTCTAACTCTTCGTGAAGGTTTTTTGGGGTTTTCTTGACTGAGATACTGGAGTGGTTTGATATTTCCTTCTCTAGCTCATTTTATAGATGAGCAAACCAAAGCAAACAGGGTTAAGTGACTTGTCCAAGGTCACAAAGCTAGTATCTGAGGCCAGATTTGAGCTCAGGTCTTCTTGATTCCAGGCTCAGAGCTCTATCCACTGTACCATCTAGCTCTCAGTTTTCTTACAGTTTCCTCACCTGGGAATTCCCTATACCAATGAGATCACAGGTTAAGTCCCTGTCTTGGTCCATAAAATGTCTACAAATCCCAATTGTCAATACCTAACAAATTAGCACTGAGTTCCAACCCCCCTTTGGGGTGACTGACTTTATACTTAAAGCTTCTAGGTGGAAAAGATTTAAAACTAAAATGAGGGTTATTGTAATATTTTTAAAATTTTTCTTTCTTTTTATTGTTTCCATGACAGAACCTGTGAAATGTTTTTCATCTATATACATTATCAAATTCAGCTCATGAAAAGATGATCCCAACTCTTCCCTATACGTACGTATCAAAAGGTCAACCAGTGAAAAGATCCACTAATTTACTAGTGACAAGGCTTTTGGATGATGGTTATCTCCTCACTCTAATCTTCTAGTCTAATCTATTAATGAGAGTGCAGGCCTTAGAGTCAGGAAGATCTGAGTTCAAATCCTGCCTCAGATACTTCTAGCTGTGTGACTCCTGGGAAAGTCACTTAACCTCTCTGTGCTCCAGTTTCCTCATCTATACAATGAGGGGTAATAATAGTAGTTATCTCGTAAGATTATTGTGAAGATCAAATGTGTCAAAATATGTAAAGCACTTTGCAAACCTTAAAGCACTGTATTCATGCTGGTTATTAATGTTAGTCATTTGCTTGTAAGCTTCTTGAGGGCATGGAATCTCTTTGCCTCTTTTTTGTATACCCAGAATTTAGCACATGTGCCTGGCACATAACAAACACTTACTAAATGTTTATCGATTGATTATTGTTGTTGTTGTTATTAGTCTGATATTCAGGCATCTCTCTACACTATTATAAGTCTGGATAATTGCCCCAGAGTCTGCATTTTGGGCACCTAGATGCCTGCAATTTTAGGAAGGCGTTAGCAGGGAAAGGGAAAGTGAGATGGCAGTGGGAGATGGTACCAAAAAATAAAGACTGGAAATTCATATGTATAAACAGAAGGCATGTAAATTGTGTGTCCGTGTTGGGGTAAAGGGAGGATGTGAATGGTAGTGGCTGCTTGGTGTAAACATGCTCCCATTCCCTACACACACACACACACACACACACACACACACCCTCAGGCTGCATATTACCCTTTCATGACACCTCTTCCTTGCCTTCCATGCTCCTTCAAATCAGATTTCACCTGTATAAAAATGTAGTGCACGTATGTGGCAGGAAAGAACCTAGGACATGGTGTGCAAACATTGATTCTTGTAACCTGAAAAGGATAGTTCTGCTAGTGTTTTAAGATATTTGGAGGGGTATACTTGTGATTTCCCTGGTATAGAGAACTTGCAGCAAGGAAATTCAGTCTAGCAATGCAGACCAATGCTCACTACCCAATTTCCAATCTCACAGACGTGCCTGGAGCCATTCAGAAGCTGAAAGACCTGGCTTCATCCTTGACATGATCATGACACTCCTGTTGGAAAACCTTTAATGACTTACCTTGTAAACAAATTCAAAAGCCCTCTACAATCTTGGTTCCTACCTTTTTCCCAGTGTTTTCTCTTCTCACATAAATTAAGCTACTTCCTTTTAAAAAAAGTAACTTTAAAATATGAACTTAAACATGAACATTTCGGTGTACAAAGAACAGAAGAAGTAATTATATATGAAAGCGAACTTCCGTTATGTAATTTTTAAATATATATTAAATATAACACAATAGTAGAAGCTGAATGACTTGTCCCATTACACAACCAAGACATATTGGAGACTGGACTTAAATCCAGTTTTTCCTAGCTTTTTATCCTCAGGCCCATGTTGCCTCTCCTATGTTCCATATTAATAATATATACTAGACAAAATACACAAATAACTATAGACACAAAGCATGTGCCTATTAGGGAATTGTTTGAAATGCAAAGCTTTACCATCAAGAACACGAGGGTTTATTGGAAAACGTGTTTCACATGTTACTTAAGGGAATAAATGACCCCCAAATCAATGTATTTGATTGAGTCAAGGCCAAAGCAACATAGGAGCACCCAAGATGAGGGAGGATCCTCCCTGGCAGCGAGTACTCACTTGAATGGGTGTCCTTCATCAGTTTTCTGCACGGCTTGTAAGACAGACTTGTAGATTCTGAAACTGATGGTGGCCGAGAGTGCAGCAAGGGCCAGGTACGCCACCACACTGACAACACTGAACTGGGTCAGAGAAAAGAGTAGCAGCAGGAAGCTTCCAAACACTATCCCAGTCTGCTTAATGTCACGCCAGTACAACAGATCAATAGCTGTGAGAACAAAAACCAAAAGCAACTTAATGTGGGAAACAGTAAATAGTCTACATACATGAGATTCATCAGGCAGAAATGGAAATTTTGCCTTTGAGCTCAGTGGATTCAAATCTAGTCTCCGAATTTGGATTTCCACTCTGAATACTGAAGAACAATAATGAACTATACCTTTTGACAAATTAGTAACATTTACCTCTGTTCCATTTTAGTTAGGGTCAAGGGGTGGAGTGGGAAGGAGGAATAAGCATTTATTTAGTGCCTACTGTGTGCCAGGCACTGCACTAAGTGCTTTACAAATTTTATCTCATTTGATTAAAGCAGTAGGTTCTTAACCTTCTTTGTATGAAGCCTGTGGACCTCTTCTCAGAATCATGTTTTTAAATACATAGAAATACATATCACAAAATAAATAAGACTAAAAGGAAGTCAATCATATTGAATTTTTTTTTTTTAATTCATGTACTGCAAGTTTAAAATCCCTACCCTAGAGACAGTCAGTGAAGAAGACTGAGTAATGAATCAAATCCTCAGGAACGTCTCAATAAAAGATTTTTACCTCTGTGCACTACATCATCAGTATGTAACCCAGAATTGTCACCATAGACATGTGTAAAAGGAGGCTTAAATATGCCTAGGTATGCCAGACATAACTCTGTTGTGAGCATTAGCCTTTTCCCTTTTACTTAAGGAAGAATGAATGTTCTAACTTTAGGGGACGAAATGTGAGCTGTCCATGGTTTGATAGCCAGGACTTTTATTTCTTCTTGAGAACATTGCAGTCCATGGATATGTTCATTGGCATCTTTGGTGATCCAGGGACAAAAATTATGCTGTTTCATAATCTATACTCCTCGCATAGACCAGATGTTAAGAAGCAAGCGTTGACATAGTTGAAGTTGTCTATTTCACATCTAGCTGGGATTGTGGGTCAACTATGTCAACACTTCGGTACTGTACTAGCTGAGTCAGTCATCAAACATTTATTAAGGGCTTAGTATATGCCAGGCAGTGAAAGAAATGATTATTAATAACCAATTATTAATATGGGTGGGGGAATCCAATGGTTTTTTTTTCCTTTCCTATTTCTTTATTCAAAGCCTAGCCCTTCAAGGACATTTCTGATCTTGCCCAAGTTCACCCCACCCAGACCATCTTATCTAAGTGGAATTCTTACCCACCATTGTTCACTGTTCATAGAGTAGGTGGAGAATAGGCCCTTTTGTATAGATTGCCTGAGCAGGAGTGGTCTGGTTTGAGATGAGTCTCTTTGTTCAAGAGTGACATAATCAGAATCACGACCCCCAGCTCTTCATTAGAATAAGCCCACTTCTCATCATAATATTCATTCTCTCATTAATTGTCAACCATGGTTGATTTTTACACATCAGGGACAACCCCTTCTCCAAGGATATTTAAGCATTTAGAGGCCACCAAGGTTCATATTTGCCTTCCAAGAGAGCCACTGATCTAAATTTATTATTAATTACCCAGAAACTATGTCTCTTGGATTCTTCATTTTTCACAGCAGCTAGGTAGCTTAGTGGATAGAAAATTGGTCCTGGAGTCAGGAAGACCTGAGTTCAAATCTGGCTTCAGACACTTACTAACTATGTGACCCTGGCCAGGTCACTTTCCCTCTGTTTGCCTTAATCCACTGGAGAAGGAAATAGAAATCCACTCTAGTATCTTTGCCAAGAAAACCATATGGACAGTATTGGCATGATATGGTCCATGGGGTCACAAAGAGTAGGGCATGACTGAATGAATGAACAACAACAACATATGCTAGACACTGGCCTATGTACTGGGGATATAAATAAAGGCAAAAAATAGCCCCTGATTTCAGACAGTGCATATTCAAAAGGGGATCATTTAAATAAGTAAGTACATATATATAAAATAGGTCTATGTGTATAGGTACGTCTGTAATATACATCTATAGTAATAGAATGTATGCATACATGTATGTATGGCAATATGAAAGGGGTAGGCAGTAGAAGGTAGGGGAACCAGGAAGACCTCTTGAAGAAGTTGAGATTTGAGCTGAATCTTTAAGGAAGCCAGGGAAACTTGGAGGTGGAGAAGAATGGACATTCCAGGGTTTGGGGACATCCAGTACAAAGGCCCAGAGATGGAAGAAGGGGAGTCAAGTTACAGGAAATGTAAGCATGCCAGTTTTAATGAAGTAAGTTGTAGGCTGGAAAGGTAGGGAGCGATTAGGCTATGAAGAATTTTAAATGCTTACAAGAAGATTTTGTATTAGGAATCACTAGAGCTCATTAGGCAAGGGAGTGACATGGTCGAACCAATGCTTTAGAAAAATCATGTTGGTATCTGAGTGGAGAATGGAGTAAAGTGCATTGTACTCCTTAAAGAAGTGGGACCCAGAACACTTCAGGCACACAACACAAAACTGCCAACACTAGTGCCACCACATCTGGCATTGGCAACCCAGGTCCAGATGTCTCCATATATTCAGAATAAGGAATTAAGTAAGACTCTGGATCTCAATCCCCAGAGACATAACTAATTTTTCATTTGGAATGACAATAATATTAACCTCTGTATCATGTATATATTTTGAATATTCCCATATTCTTATCCCTTCATCCTTTCTATTTATAGCATTTTTCCTGTCTATCTCTCCAATAACACAACACCCTTAACTCCCTTAAGTGAACACTAACCCTTCTTGACCTATTGCTAAGTAGTGATTCAATGTCAACTTGGCAGGCAGTCTCCAGTGATATGCCTCAGAGATCTATTCTTCTCTCTTTGCTGCTTAACATTTTTATCAATGATTTTTATGAAGCCACAGATGTTAAGCTGATTATTACTCTAGAATAAATAGCCAATACGATGGACGATGATGTCAATATCCCAAAATTTCTGCCAGGCTAGAACAATTTGATGAATCTGAGATAAAATTCAATAGGGAAAAAGGGTTACTCGGGTTAAAAAAATTAACTTCACACATAGAAGAGGGGTGAAGTACGACTAGACAGTTTTTTATCTGAAAAAAATACTTTTAGTGAATTTTAAGCTCAGTATGAGTAGGCAGAGTCATATGGAAGTCAAAGAGGCTAATGAAATCTTGGCTGTAGTAAGAGAGGCATAGCTTTGAGAAAGACGGAAGCTCCTCTGTAATCTGCCTTGGCCAGACGACATCTAAAGTATTGCATTCAGTTCTGGACACCACAGTTTAAGAAGGACATTGCTAAGTTGGAAAGCATCCAGAGGAGCATAATCAGGATAGTAAAGGGACTTAAGTCAATGTCACATGAAGACTGATACAAGGAACAGGGGATGTTTAGCCTAGAGCAGAGAAGACTTATGAAACATGTGAGTTTAAGTACTTGATGGGCTATTGTCTATCAGAAGCAGGAGTAATGGGTGGGAGTTTCATGAAGCAAATTTAGATTTGATGCAAAGAAATTACTATTTTTTTTTGACAATCTGAGCTACTCCAAAGTAGAATAGGCTGTCTCAATAGATAGTGAGTTCTTCCTCATTGGAAGTCTTGAAGAAAAGGTCAAATGATGACTTGACAAGTAGGTTATGGTAGGAATTTCTTTTGGGTTATGGGTTAGGGATGAGGTGGCCACTGAAGTCCTTTCCACTGTTATAATTATGAATATTCTATGAATTACTGTTGACCTTTGGTTTACTGACCCAAAGCCAGTCATCAATGGATGATGGGAACCAGTGAATATCTGCTGTGGTAATCTTGCTAAATTAAGAACCTTTTTCTATTAACTACTGGACATACATTTTCAAAGGTATAGAATGGTTTTACTAAGGATTCACGATATACCAATACCTATTTTGGATCTAACTTTGGGCACATATATGTCAAGGAGGAGCAATGATGGGGTCAGAACTAAGCTTTTTACCTACAAACCCTTTGATCTGAGCCAAAAATAGAGTGTTCCTACTATATCTCCTAAGGAGGGGGAGGAGGCCATAATGAAGAAAGTGCATCTCCACAGCCCCTAGGATGGCATAGAATTAAGAAAGAAATCTCAAAGTAGATCCTAAATTCTATTTAGTTCCCTCCTACATATAAGGGACATAAAAAGGTATGTTAAAATATGGTCCCTCAGCATGTAGATACCACCAGCTTTCCCTATATCAATAGTTGTCAAACTTTTTGGTCCCAGGGCCTCTTAATATTCTTAAAAATTATTGGGTATCCTCTCCCAAAAGAGCTTTTATATAGGTTATATCTATAAATGTTAATAGTATTAGAAATTAAAATGTCTTGAGATTATTATAAAAATTGTTTTGACTTCACAGACCCCCGTGAAATAGTCCAGGAGTCCACAGATCACACTTTGAGAACTGATGCTTTAGATCATTAGGGAGACCTGCAAAGAAAAAGGTTCTATGGCTGAAAACTGCTAAGAAAAACCTCATTTGATAGATCTCTCTATAGTAATCTGGCTTCCTCTTCATCTTTCTCTTTCTATACACATGTATACATATATGCATATGTGTGCGTATATATGTATATATACGTATATATGTATGTGTATATACACACACATATAAATCTACATACATACTGACAAGATATATATAGAAAATCTAGGTTATTCACACTCTATTCTTATTCTTCTTTCTATGGAAAAATGTAAGACACAAGAAAACAAAAGCAGTATTTTTTTCAAATTTCACACAGATGGAAATTTTCTAAATGGCACTGCCACTGAGAAGCAAAGAAAGCATTAATCCCTGCTAAGAAATGTAATAAAGCACATTTGCTAGCTAAGCAAATCCTCAACTCTTCCTATAAGATGCTGTTGTAATCAATTTTTTTAAATGGACAGAAAATAAGAAGCTAAATTCACATCTCACAGATAAACATTTTCTTATGTTTTAATGTCATAAAGGAAACATGGTGTGGTGGACAGAGTTGATGTCAGAGCCAAGAGGGTCTGGGTTCAAATTCTACCTTTGACAAAATACTGACTCTGTAACACTGGGCATATCACTTA